GTGAGTTCAAAGAGGCGTATGGTGGGGTACACACAAATTATCAAACTTCTCATAGCATCGGAATACAAGACCCTCACACTCTTCAAAATCAGGCTGGCTCCTAAGGTCAGCCTTAATCCTGTCTCTTATACACATCTAGATGTGTATAAGAGACAGCCATAAGGCTTATGGCTATGGACCTTGGTCCTTTGAYAGMCTTGACATTCCGCAATAAACTTCTRAGCGGATCTCCTTATTCCCGACCAATCAAATTGCTRCAAAAGACTTCTTTAAGTCTTCTCAAAGSCAAAGTGTCCAGTCYGACCATGTGCCAAATCCAAGAAGTGAGTTCAAAGAGGCGTATGGTGGGGTACACACAAATTATCAAACTTCTCATAGCATCGGAATACAAGACCCTCACACTCTTCAAAATCAGGCTGGCTCCTAAGGTCAGCCTTAATCTGCTCGAGGATGGGACCAAGGTCCGGATCCTTAACAGTGTGCTCGACCAGATCCTCCTTCAATTTCCTTCGAGGGTCATACGAGCTCACGAGGCAAGTCAAAAACTTAGGATGACAAGACAAAGCATCAGTGACACGATTATGACAACCTTTCTTGTGTTTCAATTCAAAATTGTAAACAACAACGTCATGCAGCCCAGCGTCGGAGAAAGATGAATTTGCGTTTTGATCCACTGCAAGGTCTTATGATCTGAGTAAACCTTGAAGTGAGGACCCAAGAGGTAGTGCTTTTAATGCGCTAGCGCCTCTCGCAATCCATATATGTGGAGGCCACTACCTTATGGCAAGGCATGTGTGTGCTGTAATATTCGAGTGGACGTGGGCCATGCCCATCATCTTGTTGCAACACTGCGCCAATCCCATATTGGCTCGCATTTTAGTGACTACGAAGGTGAGGTTGGGATTCGCAATATGGAGCACATAATGACTTACCAAAGCTTCTTTCAAAGCTTGAAACGCAGTCTCGCACTTCCCACACCACGCATAAGTGACATTTTTGCTTGTTAGTCTCCATCGTGGGTGAGCAATGACATAAAATTTGGGTACAAACTTCCGGTACTACGAAGCCAAACCAAAAAAGGAACGCAGTTCCCGTACATTTGTCGGTCGAGGCCACTTTCGTATGACCTTAACCTTGGTTGCCGCCGGCTCAAGGCCGTTTGCAAACAATCAGTGCCCAAGATACATAACATTGTCCCTTGCAAACTCAGATTTCTCTAAGTTGAGGTGCAACTTCGCCTCCTTCAGAACCTGCAAAAATTCCTCTAGGTGATTGACGTGCTCTTTCATGGACTTACTGAAATCAGGATGTCATCGAGGTAAACAACAACAAACTTGTTGACCTGATGGCGGATAACCTTGTCCATGAGGCACTGAAACGTGTCTGGTGCATTCATGAGACCGAAGGGCATAACGATAAATTTGTACAGCCCATCGCGTGTCTTGAACGCAGTTTTGTGCTGGTCGATCGGATCAACTTCCATCTGGTGGTAGCCAGACTTGAGGTCGATCTTGCTGGAGACCCTGCACCCACCTGCAGCATCCAACAAATCATCACTATGTGGCAAGGGATAATCGTTCTTTCTGGTGATATGGTTTAGTCCACGATAGTCGATGCGCATCCGAAGTTTGCCTCCTTTTTTCGACACAAATAAGACAGGTGCACCGAACGCAAACTCACTAGGCCTAATCCATTCACGATCAATCCTGTCATCAATCTGTCTTCTCAGCTCCTCCAACTCTCCTTGTCGCATACGGTAGACGCAGCCCTTTGGAGAAGCACTCCCTTCTACTATCTCGATCTTGTGTTTGACCGAACGCTCGGGTACTCCACGAGGTTCAGCCAACACTTTCGGAAAACGATCTAGTAGACAGATAATCTAGTAGACGGCGAATGTTTGTTGGGACTTCTGGTGGAGGATCATCCTTATCAAGAGAGAGAAAATCAGTTTGAGAATTTACGACAATAACAACCGAATTTGAAGTAGCTGGATTAGAGGTAGATGGAACAGAAGTAGATGGAGTAGAAGTAAAGTTATTTTCAGAGGTAAAGAACGCATCAAAAGTAGAAGGCATATGGATAGGCTTTATAAAGGCTACATGCACACCCTCACCTTCTTTGCGCATCCGCACCGACCTGCAAAATTTGTTCGCACTAAAAAGAGTCACTTGGGACTCGCGCGTTTCGTCGAACAAGCCGGTATGCTCGTTCTCCTTGCCGTCACGCACCACGAAGTGGGTATCCGCCCACGTGGTCCTTAGACAATGGGCCTTTCACCAGCCCAAACCAATGATCGCGTCGAAGGGACACTTGTCGAGAACATAGAAATGCGTGGATGCCATTCTCCAAATCCAAATGAATAGCCGCTCCGGCTAGGGGTTCTACCTTCTGCTTTTGTGATTTTTTTTTTTTAATTATTATTCTTTCTTTTTATCTGAACTATCTATTTCCAGTATTGCGGCGCGTGCGCAGAAAGCGGAAAGAGACAAAACGGAGAGAGAAGGTTTTTTTTTTTGAGAGTGCGAGGAGGGGTAAGAGGAGTGTTTTTCCTGCTGCAACCCTCAAAGTCACAGCCACAGGTAAGAACCGGCCCTGCAGGGCCTCCAAACCAACAAGTACTCTTGTGGGTCACACACACTTAGGCCGATATGGACTCAGACAGGCACGCAGACCAGCGGGCACACCCACCTTCGACAAATATATTCTTTTTAATTATTATTACTTCCTTTTATTTGAACTATCTATGTCCATGCAATCAGACTCGCTTTCTTTTCCACTTCACACTCATGCAAACAGATGGTGAATCACATTGGCGCACAACGCCCACTCAAAGCTCAAAGATATGGAAGTCGAAAACACAGTTTAGATACAAACTCGCTTCAACAGGCTATGGCGCATCAGCGCCTGTACGTCCCAACTCTCGTCTCTTTGTCCAACACCATTGTTCGCACTTACTCAACTCCGGATCACCCTGGATATCCCACACGCATACACACACTTTCGTACTCACACACTCGCCTATCGGCTATAGCGGCTATGGCCGCCATACCTCTATGGCTCTGGTTAACTATCTCCTCCAGCCCACTTTGTCTTCGGGCACTCTGCAGACCACCTCGCACAAGTCGCTCAGGTAGCGCTTCTGCATGGCTTACGCAGGAATGAATAATAGCTGGACGCTGCCTCTTGATTTATACTTCTGTTCGCTGCTAGTCTGCCCTTTCCCACCGGGCCCCTGGTGCACACAGTCCCACATGGTACTTGCTGACTGGACTAAGTGGGACTGGAACTGGGTACCGCTGACTCAGCATAGGTGGACTCACCACTTGCCCACTTGCCCCTAGTCTGCTATGAGCAACGTTTGAAGGGCCACTTTCGGACCTTCCGGAAGTCTGTGGACTTGTCCCTTCGACATTGTAGCAGCTACGACCTTGACCTTCCAGGAATGTATCGGCTACGACCTTGACCTTTCAGAACCACTACGGCTACGACCTCTGCTACAAACTTGACCCCTACGCGACAAGCCTACGGTTCAAGACCCGACGAACACACTGGCCCACAACAGACAACAACTGACTCCTAAGACAGGTACGGGTTCAAACACACAGGGGTACTAGACACAGGGGAGCGAGGTCTAGGGATCGAGCCCTGGGATCTGCATCCACTACTGCGAAGGTGAAAACGGTTTCACTCCCGCCGGCCTAAATTCGAGGTCCTCCGAGAATAGTTCAGTCCAAGACCTAACTTTTACCTTTCTAATCTCTCTCGTAGGCTCTAACTATGTCGGGAGCTGTTTTTAGAAGTTCAGTTTTGGTAAACCAGCGTTCGTCCTCTGGTTCCTGATAAGCAAATCGCACTTTGTACTATTTATGTGGGTGACCTCTACCTCCTGTTCTAAACACATCTTCACCTACAATGCCGTTAATGTCGTACCTTCCATCCATGTCCAGAGGGATCATGGATCTTCTTGATGGAAACTGTTGACTTGTGACACACGGAAGCAACGTCGCCGCATGGAACACAAGGTAGGTGTGGAGGTGTGCTGGGATCTCTATCGTATAGGACGGTCCATCCTCTCCGCCCTTAACTTCTAGAACTGGCCACGGTCCTCTGTATGCTGGCAGTAACTTTTGCGAAATGTTTCCCTCAGGAGCAAACTCTTTGGACTTGACCCAAACTAGGTCGCCTACTTGAAACTGTGACGGGCGACGATGCTTATTAGCCTGTTCTATCATTCTGTGTTGGGCCTTCCTGAGGTTCTCAACAACGGTAGCTAACTCCTTCTCGTGCTGTATCGCAAACTCCCTAGTACCGGGCGGTAGCCTATGAACCTCGTCCCGGTTAAGTCCTTCAAACGGTCTGCGCAGTCTAAAGGACTTATGCAGCTCATTGGGAGTACGACAAGTGGCTAGGTGCACGAAACTTGATCTTGTCTAATATACATGCGCAAAACTTGTTGCAGAATCTTATTCATATCTTCGGTCTGACCGTTGGTCTCAATTGACTTGATCTTGTCTAATATTCAAACAGTCCCAATTGACTTGATCTTGTCTAATATACATGCGCAAAACTTGTTGCAGAGTCTTATTCATATGTTTGGTCTGACCGTTGGTCTCTAGGTGACGGCTCGACGACATTAACAACTCTGACCCGTATACTCTCATTAATTCCCTGCCAGTTCTGACTTGTTAACCGGGTGTCCCTATCACTAACTATGGACAATGGGATTCCGTGATCGCTAACCCAAAAGTCAAAAAAATTATGAATTATTATCTCTGTACGGGTTTCTGCGGGTAAGGGAACAAAAACTGCATATTTGCTAAATCTATCCACTATTACCATGACTTGGCTCTGTCCATGCCTACTTTTGATGCCAGCATCCATGAAATCAATGGACACTGAATCCCCAGGCTGGTCAGGAATAGGTAAGGGTCGAAGAAGACCTAGAGGGGCATGCGTAGTTGTCTTATTTCTTTGACAAACTTTGCAACTGCGAACATAATCTATGTAGTCAGCTTTCATTCCTGGCCAAGTATACGCATGCATCAGATTGGCTGAAGTCTTTTGCCAACCGAAATGTCCCTTTGTGTCGTGGCATTCCCCGAGGATCAAACTACGGATCTCCTCATTATTAGGAACGCACAGACGGTCTACTACATTGGTTTTCTCGAACAGTAATCCCTTTGTAGCGTCGTAATCTAGCGCGATTATCTGGTTCAGTCTCTGGGGCCTCCTTAACTTTCTTGAGAAGGTCACTGTAAATAGGGTCCTGCGCATACGCCTGTCTTACTTTCTCTTGCAGGTCTCTCCCTATATCTAGATAGTGAACTATAACTCATAAGTAATCTGATCTCCTACTTAGAGCATCCGCAACTACATTATACTTGCCTTTGACTGGTTTGAGCTCAAAGTCATACTGATCTATCTCAGAGGCCCACCTAGTTAGCTTAGGTGTCATCTTGGCCTGCGTAAGGGTCTCGTGGTCTGAATAAACTTTGAAGTGCCTCCAAAGCAAGTAATGCTTCAAGTGCTCTAAGGCCTGCCTGAGAGCGTAGAGTTCTCTCTCATAAGTCGAGGTAGCTACTTTCTTTGAAGGCATCCTTGCTGACATAAACTCTACGGGTCTATAGCCATTGTCGTCGTCCTGCTGCAACACATCACCTATACCATACTGACTTGCGTCTGTGGTGATGACATATGGCAAGGACGGATCTGCCACCTTGAGGACAGGGTACTCTATCAACGCTCGCTTTAACTTCTTAAGAGCGGAGGTACAATCTTTGTCCCACTTCCAGATTGCATCCTTCTTGAGCAACCTGCGAGGGGGAGCGGCGATGGCGTAGAAGTTTCTGACGAACTTCCTATAATAATTAGGTAGGCCTAAACGACCGCAAGTCTGTCATCGTGCGGGGCGTCGACCAATCTCTAATCGCCACTATCTTGCTATCCTCATGCTTAATTCCATCTCCGTCTAAGATGTGGCCCAAGTACAAGACTTGTGTCTTGGCCCACTCGCACTTCTTCGCTTTGATCTTGAAGTTAGTCTCTCTCAACTGCTCCAAGGCCTGCCTCAAATGACCCTGATGCTCTTGGAGGTTCCTACTGAAAACTAATATATCGTCTCGGTAAACTACGACGAATCTATCTAACCAAGGTCTGAACACATCATTCATGCAGCGCTAGAATGTGGTTGGCGCATTAGTCAGTCCAAAAGGCATCACGATGAACTCATAATGCCCATATCTAGTAAGGAAAGCAGTCTTATACTGGTCATCAGGATGAACTTCTATTTAATGATATCTGGACTTCAGATCTATCTTTGAGAAATATCTACAGCCCTGCACCCGATCCAAAAGATCGTCTATCCTGGGCAGCGACTCAACATTCTTCACTGTAATTGCATTCAGACCCCTATAATCGATGCACATACGCAACTCTCCCTCCTTTTTGGAGACAAACAAAACTGGTGCTCCGAAAGGAGACGAACTGGGCCTAAGCCAACCCCTTTCGAGGAGTTCGTCTAGTTGCTCACGCAACTCCTCTAACTCCCTTGGGGACATCCTGTAAACCGTACCCTTAGGAGTTTTACTGTCGGGCCCTATTTCGATTCTATGTTGGATTGGCTGCGGTACTACTCCTGTTGGCAGCTCTGCCAAATCTTTGAACTCTTCCAGCACCTTGGCAATAGCTGGATCTATGGGCTTGTCTTCTTTGGGCTCAGTCACAGGCCTAACATAGGCTACGAAGCCCTGTTCTTCTAACTGCTCCTTTTTTATTAATCGCGCGAACGTGGGAGCACTGAGGCAGTAATGTGCCAGGGAGTTATCTACTCCTGACACATGAAACAGGCGAGCAGTCTTAACTTCGCCTGATAGACTAGGGAGCCTACACTCATGCTCTCTTAAGTAGAGTGTGGCCCCTACTGCCTCTCCCCAGTCCATACCTAGAACTATATCGAAAGAGAGGGTTGTCCTCTACGAGGAGAGTTAGGGAATGGAGAACTTTTTCCACCTTGCCATCTTTCTCTAGGCGAAGATACGCCTGAACTCCCTCGACGTAGTCCTCAACACGCATCGTGCGGTTGTCTGCGAGGATACTGACTATGGGTCTTCCAACTTCTGGACTTTAAAACCTAGCCTCAGCTTCCGTAGCGCTTTTCGGCTAATATAACTACGGGTAGCCCCTGTGTATATAAGGGCCCCTACTCTGCTTCTAAAAACTTCTAAGTCTACTAACACAAGTTGTCCTTTGCTCTCCTTCTTCATCTTGGCCCAGACCGACATCCTCTTCTTCAATTCTTCTGCTAGACATGCGAGGGAGGTGCCTAGAGAGACTCTAACACAGACAATCTATGGACAGCTAACTGGGCACTGGCCTGCAACCTCTGCCATAGGCTCATGTGGTGTGGGAGTTTCTTGGTGGTGCGCGCACATTTCCCCACATGACCTAATGGTAAGGGCAGTTGCAACCCCTATCGGCGGCTGCCTTTTGACCGCTGGGCAGCAAATCGGGCTTCTCTATACTTTGGACAATATTGAATAATACAGGCAGGGTCACCGCAATAGATGCACTGCCCCTGCTCCATTCGCTGCTGCCACACTCTCTGGTCCAAGCCCAGATCTTCCCCAAGCTCGACCCTGTGGCCAACCTGGGTGCCAACCTCCTCTCCATTGAGGTGATCCTCCACCTCTGCGCTGTGGTGATCGACTAGGCCCCGATCGATTCGGCGGGGGACCTTGACCCCTACCTCCCTCTTGGCGGTTCCTTTGGCCGCCACCCCCCTGTGCGCCCGGACCTCGACCACCCTTGGCTAGGCCCCCTTGGCCCTGGCCTCCTCCTCTACTTTGCGGCCTCCCTCCAGCTGCGACAGCAGCGTAGGTCCTCGCCTGACCTACACTACTATCTTCCTCCTCAAGCCCCCACTCTATCTGACTGTAGGGGACTTCATCAGTACCACCCTCATCTAAAGCAAGGATCAGGTGATCCTTTGCCCATACCTGACCAGAGATGGTACGACCCTTCCACTTTTTCCCCTTATCTAAATCCTTATGCCAAAAAGTGGGCACTGGCATGGATTTGGCCTCAAACAGGACCACCTCCTTACTTAACGTGTCGTACGTGATGGTGGACTGTAGAGTCTTCTCAAAGAAATGGCCTCGTAAGGGCTCTGGCATGGCATGATATAATAAATTAACTAACTGGGTCTCAATGACCCCCTGGTCTAGGATGGTTACTAAATCATCCATAAGTGCTTTGAGTGCCCTTACACTCTTCCACTGCCGCGAGTGGATCGTTTGCAGTTTATCAAAGGCCCTGACGCCTTGCGTGACGTCTGCAAATCTCTCTCTAAGGAGTTTAATGAATTTGTGAAGAGGGGTGAGTTTGGAATATGCAACCATATTCTTTTCACAATCGGCTGCTCGCGCGAGGGACCTGACAAAACTAGTCGCGTCATCTTTTAAAGCATGGAAGGCTACGAGGACTTGTTCCTCAAGCACAATGTGTTGGAGATACACGTAAGTGTTAATACTACCCTCCCAATTGTCAAAGTTTTCCTCCTCCTTCCCGCCATAAGAGTCGGGAAACTTAAGCTTAACAGGCTCTTTGCAGGGACGCACTTCCATCTCTGCAGCGACCACTACTTTGGCGCCCTCGATGGCGCCTGCGCAGAATTTCTCTGCGCCCTCATTTAGCTTTCTAACCTCGGTCCCTACATGCGTCATCACATCTCGTGCAAATTCTCTAAAACCGGACTGGATGGAGTGGAGGGCCATGTCTTGGGCCCTAACAGACTGATGATGCTCAGTCCAAGCCCTACCTAAGAGCTCGATGCTCCCAATGATCTTGTCCAACTTGGCCTGAATGTCAGGCTGGGCCTCTACTTCCTGTCTACAAGTCTGTAAACTTTCCACTTCTCTAGCCACCCGGTTGGCTTCCTTCGTCCTCCTCTTCTTCTCCCTCGCCAGGCGCAACTTCCAGTCCAACTTCTTCTCATTTTCTGTTGTCTGGCGCTCTAGGGGATCACTTGTTGCTTCGATCTCCCTAATCGCTGCTTCCTTCTCCTCCTGAGGTAGATATAGCATCGCCGCCTCATCTTCTCCTAACGATAAATTAGCCACCCACTCAAATATCCTCTTCTCTACCCACGGGTCATCTTCCTTCGTGCCACCACTTTCTCCTCTTCCACCCATGCCTCTTCTTATGAGGGGCTCTTCTTCCGATTGCTCCTCTTCAATCTCTTCCTCTACTGCAGCCTTCATTCTCTCAAGCTTCCATTTAGTGGAGCGGGTTTTTACAGAACCTGCTCCTCTGCTATCATCTTCATCTTCGCCTGTCTAATGAGCTCCTTTCTCTCCTTTCTCTCTCTAAGGATGGCGGCGGTTTGCTCCTCTTGAGCCTTGCTATAGGGGATGGTGCTCTTCCCATTGCGAAGGTCAACCATGGTGATAGGTGCATGACCGGACAACAGTTCCAGACCTCACCACTTAGACCTCGGCACCTGACTGACTGGACCTAGGACTCGATCTAAGGACCATAGAATCCAAGTAGGATCCTGTCAACTAGGGTCTCTAGCGTAAACCTACTCTGAGGCTATCACTACAGGACTTATTGCTGATCACGAGGCATTTAAGGAGATCCCCCGTAACTCCTCAGGAATTATTTAACGTCGCAGATAGGACGACGCGATCCGCAAGTCCTCTCAAGACTTAGACAGCCCGTTGTGCAGCCCACAACTCGGATTTTGGGCCTACCGTGCCACACCGAGCAGCCTGTCGGTCAGTACCGGTCCTTGGGACGGTTCATGTCCTCCGCGTCAGTCGAGTCGTCAGACACGGCCTTTAGCTCTACTCAGCCCATGTGGGTTTGGTCAACAAGGCTTTATCCTTCATACACGGAGTTCCTACCACCTGGACAGAAGAGACTCAATGTAGAAAGAAGAGACAGACAAACTCAGCAAGTACCATAGGGTGAGTGCACATCCATAGGGCAAGGGGATAGGCTGAGGGTTTGGCGAGAATATACCAACTCCAACTTGGTCAGAATCGTGGTCAACAGCCCCCGTCAACGTCTTGGTCAACACTGTTCAAACCCCCGGTCAACGGTCCAATCAACCTTGGTCAACGCCTTGGTCAACACCCAAGTCAACGCCCAAATCAACTTCGGTCAACCCCTTGGTCAACACCTTGGTCAACCTTCAACTCCGCTATGGCTGCCGATACTTCCTCTCCCTCGCACCCTCGCTTCTCTTTCCCCTTCCTTTCTTCTTCCTTGCTTCGTTCTCTCCTCACCCTGGCTATGTCTTCCTTCCTCTTCGTCGTCCCTCCTTCCTCTTCCTCAACTATGGCTTCTTCTCACTTCTCGGTCTCTCCCTCCTCCTCTCTCGTTCGACTTCTTTCCTCCTTTACTCGTCTTCTTTCTTCTCCTCCGTGTCTAAGCTCCGCGGCTATGGCTGCCTTCTTCTTCCTTGGACCGCACAACCAATCTTGTATCGGTTCTCTCTCTCTCTCTCTCTCTCTCTCTCTCTCTCTGTTATGATTCTGGTTGTTTGTTGCCTGAAGGCCAACACTCACTCACAAAGACTTCCGGGTATGCCCATACATACACAGAAGGAAGGGGAGAGGATAGGAGTATCACACCGCACAGGGAGACATACCACAACGGAAGACTCAACCATGCGATACGACAGGGTACACTGAAAGTGCAATTCACTCCACTCAAGTTGATGTAGCTCAGTGGTTAGAGCACCGGTTGGAAATGCGCATTGTGGTATAAGGTTGCGGGTTCAAAACTCTGTAGCCTTGTGCATGGACACCGGCAGGGCGTTAGTTTGACGCACGGCTGGACACACATCCCCTTGGGCTGACGCATGGTACTATTACAGACACTGCCTGCGCACCACCCAAGGGTAGTCCATGGTGTTGTATGTTGGTTGTGAGTTTACAGGGTTTGCTTGGGGTGTTGGTCTTGGGTGTTCTGATATTCTCCCTGGTCTGGCATTATGGTTCGATCCATATCTGGTAGTTGTCCATACGGTAGAGTCTTCGATTACACGTTACAAGGTTACGAGTTCGAGCTTGGCTCGGTCCTAGCGGGGGGTCCTTGTCCAGCTTGACCCGGTCCTCCTTGATATATTCACACGACTCATACACGTACTAGGGGAGGCGGTACGAGCACTTCTCACTAGTACTTACTAGTCACTTCGTAGATGCTCCATGGTGGGGAGTAACATACAGTCATAAATACACATATTCCATATATATACAGACTCCCAGAGCATACACACAAAAAACAGACTGGGGAGTTAGTCACTGGTAGGGTCTAGGGCCTGCAGTAGGTTCGGGTTGGTTGNATATACAGACTCCCAGAGCATACACACAAAAAACAGACTGGGGAGTTAGTCACTGGTAGGGTCTAGGGCCTGCAGTAGGTTCGGGTTGGTTGGATAGGGTACCAGTGGGTGCAGTTCCTACTGTCATTCGGATATAACTGACTGGTGGCTATATATGGGGGCCTGTAGTTCATTGTCTGGGCCTGGCGTCCGAAGTCCTCGTTCGACATGGTTCGTTCAAATCCGCTTCCACCAGGGCTGGCTCAGCCCCGATGCCTATCATTGCTGTTCGGTCCAAGTTGCCTGCTCGTGGGTAGGGCGATGGTCCTGAGTGCTGGTCACACTGAGGTAGGATAGTAGGGATAGGGGGTGCGCTAGGAGTATTGATGCAAGGATGGGTTGGGATGGGGTCTCATAAAGGAACTCCTACGGCTCACAGTTCCAGGTGATCACTGTGCACTCACTGACTGACCTCTACAACACCCTGGACTTTTTTAAAAAAAGGAAAAAAATAAAATAAAATCACTCCACTCAATCCTCACAACCAGTCATAAGGAAAAGCCGAGCAGATCACATCCAGGAAACAATGAAACGATGACAGACCAAACCCAGTTGTACATTGTTTATTAAACTCAGAGTCTCGAATTGTCAGGATAACTTCAATACTACAGTGCGCTGCTCAGAAATGAGCAGCGAATCACTTCCCAACCCTGATTAGCACCCGTAACACCCCTGAGCCCCTGAAACATACAGCCTCCTGCGGGAAGCACCACCCTGAAACAGGCCTCTGAGGCCAAGCGCCACTCGAGGATGAAGAAGAAGACCAGCGCCACAGTATCTGACGATGACGAAGTGTCGAAAGACTTCCCGAGTGGAAGTCTGCAGCAGCGCCACCAAACCCTGACAAGATAACCTCTGAGGACGAAGTTGCAGCTATGGCTGCAGTGCCACCACCCTGGAACCCCACTCCGGAGGAGGGTCCAGCAGGAAACCAATCTCTCTCGCCTCCAGCAGACCTCGATAGCCCTGACCTCTGTCATCCCCTGCGTGCTGGCAGAGTACAGCGCAGGTCCCAGCTATGGACGGCGCTCCGAAGGTCTGGCTATGCCTGTCTCCTTCCACGCTGAGCCGTCACCACTTCTGGTTCACACATAGCGCAACAGCGATGTACTCGGTACCAACTGCCAAAAGCCCTGAACCGATGTNATAGCGCAACAGCGATGTACTCGGTACCAACTGCCAAAAGCCCTGAACCGATGTGCCCATCCTATCTATACTACACTAGCCTAGACTCGACCTAGTCCAGACTGACTGACCGACCGGTACCGTTTCTGTTTCGGCCTCTCGGCCTCTACCGGACCCGGCTATAGGCTATAGGACTGTCTATCAGAATAGGCCCTCATGGCCTGTCTGTCCTAGGGGTAGCCCGGGCCTGCTGTTTGCAGTTAGGGTAGCTATAGGAAACTATGTTAGTACCGGGACTGCATATTTCCCGAATTTGCAGATATGTCCCTCACGAATTTCCCTCACAGGTAGGTCTCTCGGTTAGCCCTCAGCCAAACAAAATTGCAAATCTGTCCTACCTATAGTACAGCCTCGATAGAGAGAGGCTACAGGCAACCAAAAAACAGCAAGTCATTGCAGACTTACCCTCCCCCGGAGCGAGGACCTCCGAGCTATCGGAGTCGGCGTGCAGAGCGCCGAAGGGATACTCCCTTCTGTGCTGCCTCATATTTGATGATAATTGACTTGGCAGTCTTCAGAAGTTCCTTGCGAGTAAACCAACGGTCCTCAGTATGTGGCTGGTACAAGAACTTCACAAGGTACTCCTTATCTGGACCTGTACCTGACTCATCCTCCACGGATTCGACCTCATACCCTTTGCCAGGGATAGGGGGCCCGAACTGGGGAGGCCTGTCTAGGAATGCATCAGCTGATGTGAATGGCAACAACTTAGATGCATGAAAGACGGGGTAGGTTTGTAAATGCAGAGGGACATCCACTGTATAGGATGGTCCGAATGGATCGGCTCCCACTGTATCTAAGACCTGCCATGGACCCATGTATCGTGGCAACAACTTATGCGAAATATCGTCTTCTCGCGACAACTCAGAACTGAGTACACACACCTAGTCACATGTGCGAATAGTAGAAGGCGCCTGTGCTTGTTAGCCTGCTGAATCATAGCCTTTTGGGCTTTCAACAGGTTAGCACGGACGCGCTCTATGTCCACACAGTAACGCCTAGTGAACTCTGCAGTTCCAGGTGTCAGCGTAGGGGTAGCCTTATCGATGATATCATCGAGAGGTTGTCGTGGCTCATGACCCCAGTGCAACCGGTAGGGTGTGAAGCCAGTAGAGGAGTGTACAAATGTGTTATACACAAGTTGTGCACGACCCAAATGGAGATCCCAGTCCTGCTGATCTGGACTGATCACAGGACGCAGCAATTGGAATAGAATCCGGTTCATCACTTCAGCCTGTATACACAAGTTGTGCACGACCCATATGGAGATCCCAGTCCTGCTGATCTGGACTGATCACATGACACAACAATTGGAATAGAATCTGGTTCATCACTTCAGCCTGTCCATTGGCTTTAGGATGACGACCAGATGTCATATCCAATCTAGAATGAAGGTAATCCCTGCAGTAGGATTGCCATTCATTGCTGCAAAAACGCGGATCTCGATCACTGACGATAGAGGTGGGTGGTCCATGATGTGTGACCCACCTGTCAGCAAACATCGCCTGAACGGCTGGCACACGAGCCTCAACTGGTAAGGGGATGAACTCTGCATATTTGGAGAACCGATCTACACATACCATGACCTGACGCATACCACGAGGGGTAGTCCTCCCCAAGTCAGTAAAATCAATGGACACTGACTATGCAGGAGCATCAGGGATAGGTAGGCCAAGGGGAGGTCGACGTACAACCTTATTCGTTTGGCATAACTCACAGGTTTCCACATAGTGCAACATGTCACTCCTCATCTCCTTCCAGAAGAACCGCTGCGACAGGGCTGCATAAGATTTGAGGGCACCAAAATGACCATGACATCAAAAGTGTCCTCAGCTTGCGGTCCTGGGGAATGCACAGGCGCTCCTCACCTCTGTTGCATGTGTG